CCCGCCCCCAGTGTTATGGGCATCAGATCTGAGCTTTTGTGGCTCTTGATTATCAAGACTAAGAAATTGTGTCTGTGGAATGTCCCCCAGAAGAATTATTGGTGGAGGGTGTGAAGGATCCTTAATGCCACCCCGGCTGTCCATCATACCTCCCAGTCCAGGGTGAGGTGGGGGGGGGGAGAATAATTTAGATAATAAATGTCTTCCTTCCACCTTCAGCCCTGGAGTAGATCTGTATGGGTAGAGCACATTAACAAATGGATAGAACTGCTCTGCTCATACAGATAAAACATACAACTACCCAAAGTGATAAATTACCGAATTTTTTACATTTCTGTTTTAAAGGTTTTCTCAGCCACATTCACAATCTGCTATGCTCCCATTTATGAATCTATTTACTTAGCACCTGGAAGATTTTTCCAGCAGTCAGCTAAGGCACACTAGAGAGATCAATCCAGGGAATAATAGGAACAGGCTTTGCCCTTTATAACAATGAATAGAAGTCCACTTAACTTCCCAGGTCACTTGATTATCTAACAGTTGAGGACAATTAAAATCTTAAGCTCTGACACATACTTGATGCAAGTGGGGGCTTTCCTCCCAGTTCAGGTAGCAGATCTGAGACATCCAATTTAGATCAGGACCACAGAAAGAAGGGCAAATAATTTAACTCTCTAAAGCTACTGAGATTCAAATCTACTTCTTAGACAGACAGACAGAATGTACTTTTCTATCTGAGCTATCAGATAAATTTAAGCATCATTCTCCTTCTCCTGAGGAACCCAATTTGTGAGTGTGTGTGAGAGTGTAGGGGACAATTGGACCTCTAATAATTCAATCACAGAAGCTAGTCTAAAACTTACACAGGTTTGTGGTACAGCTACACCTCTATGCTTTCAATGAATAAAAAAAGGACTGTGGTCTTTTACAGTAAGCCTCACTGAACACAAAGATTTAGTGCTATTTAAAGATTCATAGGGTTACGCTGTTATTGTTCAACCATTCAACAATTTGAGAATGAACACTTCTTGAAATAGTGTATCTCATTCTAATTCTGCTTCCTTTGGGTTCTTCTAAGGTTAAAAAGTGGGACTGGTGGAGTACATTATTTAGTTTTCAAAGATGAAAATCAAACAGTGGAACACATAAGTAGTAGTCAGTGGGTGTTATTTTTTCAGTGTTTTGCTTCATTTCAGAATCTTTAGGGTGAAACCACGAATGATGGGGAAGTCGTATTTTCCTTATTGATATATAAAACTGAGATGGGAGAGCAGAATTGATTTTTAAAATATTAGAACAGAGGAGGAGGAGGAGGGTCACCCAATCCTTCTTCCATTCACCTCCACCTTCCTGTCACCTTTATTAGTAGAACAGGCTTTGCAATACAGAAGAATGAAGCAGCCATGGGGTCTTGTATATATTTGCCACTGTTACCTGATTTGTTCCCTCTACCCCTCCCTCTGCCAAACTGTATTGCCAATTTGGTTCAGTTTTTGCACCATCTTAATACAGTGGTACCTCGGGATACGAACGCCTCTACTAACGAACTTTACCTCGATGTGCGAAAATTTACCTCGATGTGCGAAA